TTCCTGCCACAAAGGCATCTTGGGAGTTCAGTTTACCATCATCATTCTGGGAGAATTCTCTTTGCTTTTCAGTTTAGTTGGAACTCGTTTCTTAATCCCATGTCTACTTCTTCTTGTCTTGTTCCCTTGTTTTACACTGTAGCTTTTAAAGAGAGAGAGCATTTGGGAAATAACTTTTTATGAGACTTTACAGGTGTGGACATGTCTTTATATTTCCCTTAACTCAATTTATTTTTGTCTTGGCTGATTATTAAATTCTGTTGTAAGTCATTTCCCTTCTGAATTTAAAAAGCATTGAGTTACTGTTTTTTACCTTCCAGTAGAGCTGTTGTGAAGTCTGATGTCATTATATTCTTGATTCTTTGTATGATTGAGAAGTTTATTGGGTCTTCTCTATTGTGCCTTAGTGTGGGATTTTCCTTGTTTTTTTTCTTTGATACTTGATGGACCAATTAAATCTGACTCTAATGTCTTAGTTTTAGAAAATTTTCTTGAAGATTTGAAAATTTTGTTTTTGGTGTTCTTTCTAGAATTCCTAATGATTTAGATGTTGCATATCTTGGAGTGTAATTTTCTAATATTTTAGTTATTTTCCACTTTTTTCTTTTATATACTTGTTTTAAGAACATTTTCTTTAATTTTATTTTCACTGCACTTTTTCATTTCTGCAATTCTAATGTTTATATCTAAGACCTCAATTTTGTTGCCCTTCCTTCCCTTGCTACCTATACTTCCCTCAAAAAATTAGGAAAACTCTTCTTATTGTATTAATGAACGACCTCTATGTATAACTCCCTGAAGATAATTATGTTTTCTAAAATAAAGTTTTTTTTTTTTTTGCTGTTGAGTAGTCTCCATTTGTTGTTGAGGTTTGGTTACTTCTGTGTGGTCTATGTTTTCATATCTTCGATCATGTCTTTGGCTATAATTATTAGCCTTGTTCATATGCCAGTGAAGCTATAATAATAAAAGGTACTAAACATCTATAGAATACCTAGAATATATTATATACTGTTCTAAGTGTTTTGACCTTGGAGTAAGTTGTTATAATTTTTATTCCTATTGACAGATAAGGCAATGGAATGTTTAATCTATATTCCCAGTGCAACAGTGGCACATCTGGAACTTAAATTTAAGCAGTCTGATTCCATAGTCTCTTCTTTTAGCCTTTACACTATTCTGCCTCTTACTGAAATCAGGAGCTAATTAGAAATTTGGTGCATATTGGTGAGGTTTGTCAAAGTAGCATTCCCTGAGTGAACTGTTTATTTTTGGAACTTCTGATGTGTGCCTTGATCATGAGTTGATTGGATTCACCAGAGAAGAATCTGCTGAACTTCTGCTTAGAAGCTTAAGCTCAAGTGTTGGCATTTTGGTTGCCCAGTGGTGAAAGAGGGTTGGGATTACTGGTCTTAACATTTGAAAGAAGTTTTGCTAGTTCATCTGTGTTGGTATCTAATGGTCCAAAGCCCATGTTGCTTTACCCTATTTAGACATCAATCTCTGGTCTTCTGTTGGAATGAGGAACTCTATACATTGTTTCTGTGCAGGAACAAACAAGTTTTGTTATTTTGTTGGAAGACTTTCAGGTGAAGACTTGAATGAGATATACTTTCTTAATGCCCTACTTAAAATTTTCTGACTAGTTCAGAAAATTCAAAACTAATGAAATCAGAACTCAATGAATTCAGATTTCAATGAAATCTCAAATGTCTTCTTTTACCTGAAGTATTTCATGATACTTCCAACTAGACAGATAATCTTCTGCAAAATCTTTCCACCTACCTTGGATAGTTTTCTTCTTTAATAAAGTTTTATAATAATAAAACTTATTATTTGTATTTGCATGCATGCTTTTCTTACACTGTTGCACTCCCCTCCACACTAGACTCTTTAACTCTTCTTTTTTTTAGTTTCAGCTGTTTCATTTCCAGCATGTTTTCAACTTAGTAGCCTCCACCCCAAAGTCCAGTAGAAGAGAGGTGGGAGGGGACAGGGTTAACCTCCACCCCCAACTTAAGGTTCTGTGTTTGACTTAAACCACCCTCGGAAGGTCAACCCTGCAGAAGAGAGTGCTCAGACACCCTGCAAAAGAGCAGCAACCAAGTCCCCAGGCCAAGGCAGGTAGCACTGTGACTCAGGCATGGTAGATTAATGTTTTGAGGACCTTGACTGATGTTCTTGATTGAGTTGCTTGATGAAGTTTATTGCACTGTTTTGATTTCTGTATGTTTTTATTGTAAAATATTTTTAGACTATCAGCAATATATGAAATACTGAGATGGCAAAGTAGGAAATTATTCAGTAAAGCAATATATTTAATGTAAAGAAATCTGAGAATTGTTAAACCTAGATATTATAAAAACTTTCAATGACACAGAAAAGAATGAATTACACAATATGGCACTTGTTTGGCAAGGTACATCCTTCTGTAAGATGAGAGGTATTATTTGGTGTTTGTGCACATTTCTAATATTTGTAGTTTAGTGGGCTACACTATTAAGTTTCAGAAACATTATAAAAGTTTTATAGGTGTGCACCTTAGATAAAGTCATGTTTTAAATATGTTGGGAGTAACCAAATCCAGAAAGAATGCCACCATTCTTGTCATATTTCCTTTTAAAAATAATTTTTAATTTTGTATTTTGTAAAATTGCTTTTTACAGATCATTTGTGTTTCTTCTTATTCTTTTGTTCTTGTAGGATTTGAAATTAAATTATTTGAAGAAAAATTATTGCTTCAAAAAGTTTATATTTTTCTCTAGTACTATATTTTAAGATACTCAAGATACATTTGGTTTTTAAGAGAATATATTAATATTTCTTTGAAAATAAAGAAGAAAATGATTAATAAATTGTGTATATAGTCTTCTTGTTGAAATGAAAGATTGCATTTTAAAGTTTTAGTAAGAAAGAAAGATGTAAAAGTAATGAATGTTTATGTTGTCTCATGTTGAAATGGTAACAGATGACATTTCAGACTCTAAGTAAACTATTAAAATTAAAGAAAAAGAAAAGAAGAGAAAATCTATCTTCTGCATTTCACTATGTAGAAGTTGCTAGGATTTAGAAAACATCAGTGGTTACTAATAGGTTCTTTTGTAGAGCTAAATCAGAACTTAGGAATCTAATGGTATTTGATTCATTACCACAGGCAATCATGTTGAAATGATTGTTAGCCATTGGTATTTGTTTTTGTTTTTAGATTTTCTGGCACCTTACATCTAATTTGTTGGGATGTGACTTATGAAAACACAGAGAAGCATTACTTTAAAAATTCCATTCTTTTGAAACCATATTATTTGAGTATGGCATTTGTAGATGCTAAAAATAGTTTTTAATTGTTTCATGAGATTTGTGGTATACATGTGGAAAAGGCAAACTTAGTGTTTATATTTTGATTTGGATAATTTTCAGTATCCATATCATTTTTTTTCATAATTCATGAAAAATATAATCACACAGATTCTGTTCACTTTCAACACAAAATTATTATGAATTCCATTTCAAGCTAACCACCATCAAATTTTTCAGAAAGTCTTGTTTATGTTTTATAAGTGCTGTATGTAGATGACTTGCTTTAATTTTTTCTTTTGAGAAATAAGTCTTTTAACAATTTTCATTAGATTGTTAATTTGTGAGTAATGGTGACAATACTGTTATATTCTAGGTTAATTTAATGCTCTTAAAAATCTATTTTTGTCTACATCTATTCTTATCATGTCATTACCTACTATGTTTCTATGAAAATAAATCTACAATCCTTGAGATTAGTGTTTTTTACTGTTACTTTTCTCCGACAGTTTTTAACATTTTCTTTTTGGAGGCATTAGTATTAATTTCAGTGAGAAGGCAAAGCATGACTACACATAACTACTTAAAGCAAATGGCTGCAGAAATGCATTTAGTATTATTGTTTAACATTGGCTTAATTTCTATAGCTATGTTTTAAGAAGTGGGAGACTATTCTTTTCCTGTAATCAAGTTCATCTTGTACTACGAGTCAAGGAAACTGTAATTAATATTTGGGTGTGTTCACATTTGAAAAATACAAAATGAAACCAGTTACTGTTGACCAGAGAATCACTTGGAGCTCTGGTTCACAATTATAGGTTCCAAACCATAAGCTGAAAAACTACATAAGAATTTATTTTCCATTTTAAAGTGTACTACCTGTTACTTTTTTCCCCATTTTTTTTTGTTATTTCATGGTGTGTTTTATAAAGTCCAGGTACTAATGCTTTAATTCTTCTGTTTTTATAATGTGCATCTAGGAGAAAATAAAGCATATATTAGTCTAGTGCTTATACATTAATGGTGAAGAGAGGAATTCTGAATATTCAGTTGTGTTTTTCTCATCCCTGGTCTCCCATGAATACATGGCTTGATTTATCTTGATCAGCCTAGTAACTTGCTCCACATTTTTCCAAAAGTGCAAAGCAATTTTAGCTAAAAATACACATATCAAAATGCTCCAAAAGTTGTGGCCACAACTCAAAAATGCTGATCAATTTTGAAAATCTAAATCAGCCCCGGCCATGAAACCGAGGGAAGAACCTTTGTGGTGGGGGACAGATTTCCAGAAATTCACCACAGTCCTGTTCTTTGCTGGAGTTTGTGCTGATGTTGCCAGACAACTGAGGAATAGATGCAAAAAGCAGGAAGCATTATTGAATTGAGCCCTAGCGCCAATTTGGGAAAAGCAAATTAAAATGTAAAAGAATATTTTTCCACTCCTGGCGTCTCAACATAAAGTGGCAAAATACATGGTAGCTGAAAAAGTTCCCGAAATTGCTAATGTTGCCAGAAAGTAAAAACCAAGTACCATTTTTTTGATGATAAAAAATGCATATATAGTTTAAGAAATTTTTTAATCCAAATGAAATAATTTTAATTTGCAGATCAAAGTGTATATACTTATAAAAGTATGAGTTGGAGAAGTGTTTTTGATATAAATGAATATGTCTGTGGGCTTATTTCTATGTCTTAATATTTTTCAGGTGCCGCTTAAAGAATGGATGATGATGATTTTGGTGGTTTTGAGGTATGTATTATTACGTATGTTGTTTTAACTTTGTGGGGTTGTAATGGAGTAAACTATTTGAAAATGTATTTTTTCTTCTCATTTGTAATCTTTTCTTAATCAATTTGAATATAACTGAAATAAAAAAATGAAATCAAGGAAAATTAAGTATCATCCCTCTAAAAGTTAAAACTGGTTTATTATTACTGATGATTTGGTCTTGCCCATAGAATGATTTAAATTGAAGTAATTAAGTGCTACTGGTGAGCACTAAAGAAGCGGTTTTAAAACTTGTCAGCAGATGATTTTGCTGGAGACATGTCTATTAGGAAATGCTTGTAAGGCGAAGGGATGAGTACTGAAGATCCTGCCACATATGTGCATGTTTACACCTGTAATGAGTTGATTTAGTATATGAAGTACACAGCCTTTCGGTGGTTTACAATGCTAATTAGTATGTTTGTGTTGTTAGATTGTTCTCTAAGGTTTCACTTGGGCATTTTGTAACTGGAATTTGTTAGCTGAAGAAGCAGTGTCTTTTCCTTAATCCTTTTCAATGTGTGTTCATTTTATTGAAATATTTTATAATCCAGTTATTTTTATGGAGCCAGTATAGTCTTGCAGGAAAATCTCTGGATTAGGAGTCAGGATGCCTGAGCTCAAGTACTGGAACTACCATGAACTGAGCTTTGTGATTCTGTGATTTCTTTTCTTTCTTTCTTTCTTTTTTTTTTTTTTTAAGTAAAACTTTTACCCAGTTTGGATTTGATAAAAAGTGACTTTGTAAAAATTATGGGGAATAATTAATGATATTAATAGGTGAAATACAACATTAAATATATATTCAGTGTTCTGAATTTCATGAAAAATGGTGTGAGTTGTTTAGATTTTCTGTTTTATCTTTATTATCTGCCAATATGGAAGTACTGACATAAATATTGTATTAAGAGTTCGGGAGTATATGTTTTCCATGTTTCATCTAAAACTGTTTTTAATTTAACACATTTGGAAGTTTTCTGTATTTTGTTTAATATTTTGTGTTTTGTTAGGTAAGTGAAACTTATGTTACTGAAATGTAACATTTAAAATTTTGTTAAAATTACTTCCATTTTGAGAAAATATATCTTTCACAATATTATATGGCTTAATTTATTTTTTGGAAATTGTTAATTATTTGAAGATTGCAGTTTAGCATAATTTCCTTTATTTAAGCCATGATTGATGTTTATATTTATATAGAGAGTTGGTAGTGTTCTTTAGAGTGACAATTACACTTCAATATTATATTCAACAGATCCTTTCTCTAAATGTTACATAGATACAATGTTAACTAGCATTGCACTTAATTGTAGTTATTAGGTTTCTGTCTTTTTCACATCCTGCTGTAGAAGTGTGGATTAAATAAAATATATTCATTTATAATAGTTTATGGAGAGTGGCTACCATATTCTATGTTACTTCGCTCCTGTGACAGCCTCAATGCAGAATCCAAATTGAAATTTTGGGTCTCATATTGCTGTGACCTTCTCACCTAAGTGAAAGAAAACTCTATACTCTTACCACACACTCAACATTCAGTAATTGACTGCCCCAAAGTAGGAGAGCTTGTTTATTGAAAATGTCAGCATTAGGAATTCTCTAAAAGTTTAATGCTAGTAAGTACAGACAGGAGATTATTCAAGAAAATAGATGATGATCATATTTTTTTTTCAGATTAATCTCTAAGTCATTGGTTAGTGAGTTTAAAAGATTTTGTCTCTGTATTTTTACAGAGCTTTTTTTTCTTACATAGATGGGTAAATGTTATGGTGAGTTAATTTAGAAGAGTTAGGTATAAAGTTATTAAGTGAAAATGTGATGGATATGTGAAGTAAAATTTTGATTGACATGAGATTTATTTAAATAAGGAAGGAAAATTTTTAGCTGAAGGTAATAGGATATGCATATTGTGGGTAGGTGGAGTAATAGTGGAAGACCAAAAAGTAATTGGGAATTTAGAGAGAATTTGACACATGTAGTGTATTATAGAAGATACGTAGGACTGGGATGTTTGGTCACTTAAATAGACTTTCTATTTCTTAGAAATTCTACTATAATCTTAGAATTTCTAATGTAATCTTGCTTTGTTTTCTAGGCTGCAGAGACCTTCGATGGTGGGAATGGTGAAACTCAAACCACATCTCCTGCTATTCCTTGGGCTGCCTTTCCTACAGGTACTGGCATATAGTAACTAGGAATTTTTTCTAACTTGCCTTTTGTGCCTTTTTGTAAATCTGTTTCTTACTTTCTTCATTTGGCCTTCTCTGAGCTGAAAAATGGAATGGCCCAGATTGACTCTTTAATCTAGATGGTATTAAATGAAAATTATGAAATGCATAACAAAATTCTGTGATGGTACCTTGAGGCCTAATTATTCAATGAAATTAAGATACTATTTACATTTTTAAATTTGTTTTAGTTTAGGAAGTTGAGGGGTCAGAAAAGTTTTTTAGGTTTTATTCATCAGTTAAAGACTTCCCTTTTTATATTCTAAAAATAATTAGTCATCTTCATTCATATGTAAGTTTAGAAGTTGTTTTATAGTTTTATATTGAAGATTAAAAATAAATCATCCGGGGCTTGGGGTATAGCTTAGTGGTAGAGGTCATGCTTAGCCTGCTTGAGGCCCTGGCTTCAGTCTGTAGTGTGTGTGTGTATATAAACACACATGTCATTCTTCAGTTAAGTATAAAATAAATTCCATTATTGAGATATGCTTTTAGATGATAGAGTGTTCAGTAGTAAAATAATTCATGTCTAAAGAATATTTAGAACTTTGTAGATGTTTCTGTCAAATGATCATGAAGTCAGCAGTAGAAGATGAAAGTATCTTTCTTCAACAACCCTGCCTTGCCCCAGATTATTAGAATTACTCATCCTACAAATATTTATCCACTGCTTTTTGTGCACGATCCACTCTGGGATAGAGAGATATACAGAATATGGTCTAATCCTTACTTTGAGAGCAAGGGCAGGCACATGCATATTTGTAATGTAAAGCACATTTGTCATATGGGAAGAATGATGATTTCATCATCCCTTCACTTAGCAAGTGTGCATGTCATGTCTGGTATGAATGAATCAGTGCTAGCCTTGATGCTGGGTATATATATATTGTTGATCTGGACTTTGAAGAAAGCATATGATTTCAACAGACAGTTACAGGACAATGGGGAAAGATTTTGAAGGGAGAAGAACCAAATGAAAAAGAGTATAATCAAGAATAAAGGAATGACATTTATTGGGATGCTCTGTCTTTCTATATTATTTCCTCTGTGGCATCCTATTGCTACTGTCCCCCATTCTCTTACCATGCTCTCATGTTTAATGTGCTTTAATTTCCTGCTGTAATACTTGTTTTACTAGGAAATCTTTCTCCCATGTCTATATGGAGCCTATTATCTGACTTTCATGTCAGTTTTATTGGGTTAAGCATTGTGTCTGTATTTTAAATGCTGAGCATAGTGTCTAGCTTATAATTGGCTCTCAGCAAATATTTGTAGAGTGAATAACTAAGGACAAAGATGAGTGAGTGAATGAGTCCCTGAATCAATGAATAGATTAGGATAGCAATGGAAATCAACAGGAAGAGTTGGGATAATATAGTATCTAGTGGCTTAGGATTTTTGTGTGTTGACACTTACTTGCTTATTGTAACATGACAGGGTACCTGCTCTCTTCCTTTTATGCAGATGAAAAAGTGATGCTTTTAATAAGTTTTGCAGTTTGTTACACATAGGTGTGGTTTAGGGATGAGATCTAGTCTTTCAGATTCTATTTCACTTTTATTCTCAGTAACTCAGTTTTTTTAAGGAAATTATCAGCAACATTTTGCTTGATGTGACTGTGAAAGAGTAGTCAAATTGACGTTGGAGGTTCATGCTTTCATCCTGAAAGAATGCTGTTATGATGAACAGAAATAGAGAATTTAGGGGTTGGCTTCAAACAGTGTGGGACTGGAATAAATCTCTTTTAGACTTCTGTATTTAAGGCATCTAGAACACAGGTGAAAGGTCAGGGCTGGAGTTTTACCATTGATAATGACAGTTAAAATTCTAGGAGATCCCTGGGTGAAACAGTATGTAGAGGACTCAAATCTCCCTATTTGGGAAACAGGAGGAAGTAAAAGATACCAGTCTATGAGATAAGGGGAGAGTGAACTAGTGCAGCAACATAAGAATTATAAGCAAAAAGTATGAGTGATGCTATGCCACCAGTGTCAAAGGCTGTAGAGAGGTCAATGAGACTGGAGACTAAGGGAAACCTACAGGAAGTCAAAAGTGGCTTTTGAGGAAATGGTTTTCAGTACATTGAAAGTTGAAGCCCAATTGAACTTTTTTTTTTTTTCACTTTTTATAAAAGCAGGAGTAGTATCTGTTTTTCTGTAACAATTTGTGGCAGTACAGAAAAGAATTATGTATTGTGAGCAAATTATGGGATTTCTGTTCTCCATGAGTAAACATTGTATGTCACATCTGCATTTGTCTGTATATTTGTGGGTCAAGTCCTCAAGAGGCAATTGAAATTAAAGAGCAGTCCCTCTTCTACACACACACACACACACACACACACACACACACACACACACACAGAGAGAGAGAGAGAGAGAGAGAGAGAGAGAGAGAGAGGAGGGGAGGGGAGAGGGGAGAAGGCAGATGGAGTGAGTCTCTCCTCTTATGCTCTTAAAAAAATCAATCTTAAGGAAGTATTTTTTCTGGATTTCCTTATTGACTTGCAGAAAAGGAGAAAAAACAAACCTGACTAAGGGTATAAAGATATGGTATATATTCACTCAGTCAAAGGAATCCTCTTCCTTTCTTAAATATTTTGTGATCTTCTGGCTGCTGGAGATTTTGGCCTCTGACTCAGGTAACTTGAAATTTTTTTGGATGAGAGTGTTGAGAATAGGCTGATTAGCTAACAATTTGTCTCCATACTAGAGACCAGAAGAAATAGGAACCTTTAAGAGAGCTAAGAAGTTGGGTGCTAGTGGCTCATGCCTGTAATCCTAGCTACTCAGGAGGCAGAGGTCAGGAGGGTCATGGTTCAAAGTCATGGTTACATAGTTTGCGAGACCCTATCTTGAAAATACCCAACACAAAACAGGGCTGGTAGAATGGCTCAAGTGGTAGAGCACCTGCCTACCAAGCATGAGGCCCTGAGTTCAAACTCTAGTACCACCAAACAAAAAAGAAAAAGTACTAAGATTATTTTCAGCTTAAGACTAATTTCTTCTTTTGTTTCTCTGCTTGCACCCCAGCTGCTTAGAATCTATAAGGAAAACATTTTTTTCAAACAGATTAATATTAACAAAGTTTTACCACAGCTTAAAATCTAAGAAGATAACCCAGAAATGTTTGATTTAAGTTTATAATTATTTGGGGGAAAACTGAAGTCTTCATTCTTGGAATTAGGATAACAAATTTTGTTAAATAAAGAGTACAATGGGCTTAATGTGCCTAGTGATTATACTGCCTCAAGACTCATGATTCAATGGAGGATGATTTTCATAATAGCAACTGGGATAATCAGTGTCTTTCTCCAAGTGTCTATAGCTTGTAACTCTGCACCTCAATACATGCATCTCACTGTATATCAGCATCATTTACATAGTGGACCCTTTTGATGGAGGAATTAATGAATTCCCAATCAAAATAAGTGAAATGTGTGTTGACTTTTTACAAAGCTGGTTTCTGTAGTCTTATATCTCAAAGGTATGGCATTTAATCTGTAATGTGTTTTATACCTCTATTATCATGGGAGTTGGAGAATGTAAAAAGGAGATGAATTAGTATGAAATTTTCTGTCTCTTCCTATTGCCTTTACTTTCTATAAGCATGTAGAGATTACTTTATTCAGTGAAGGCTATCCAAGAGAAGAATTACTTTTATTGGGGGCATTTTCCTCTCTATTTCATAGCCTCCTCTTCCAGATTGTCACTAATGGCTATTCAGTTTGAAAATAGTGAGCTACTTTGTGATCCACAGTGTTCCTAGGCAATCTTTGTTCCTATGTCTTTGCCACTATTCCTGATTGTAATGCCTTCCCTCACCGCCCATTTGCTTACCTGAGTCTTATTTATTCATTTATTTTAAGAAATGATAAGGACTTGTTCTGTATCCCATTAGCTGTTTCCTGTGAGGTACTGTTGTTATTCCATTTCTGTACTGTTTTCCTGGTGTTTAGGTTATGCTAATTCATATTTTTAAAATATTATACTAAATTATACATAACTAACTTTACTATTTTAATTATTTGAAGTTTGCAGTTTAGTATTGTATCTTGTAAAACAGAAACTATATACCTACTCATTTCCCCTTCCTCCAGTCCCTGGAAAGCTCTATTATTCTTTCTATCTTTGTATTAATTTAGCTATTTTGTATACCTGATTTAGGTGAAATTATATAGTGTTTGTTGATTTGTCTTTTTTTGTGACTAGCCTTTTTCACTGAGAATAATGTCTTCAAGGTTCATTCATATTGTAGCATGTGTCAGAATGCCCTTCCTTTTCAATACTGTATAATGTTCCATTGTATTCTTTTTATAGAGCCATTCATCTGTCATGGATACTTGGATTACTTCTATCATTGGCTATTTGAAATAATGTTGTTATGAATGGGTGTTTATTTTGTATGTTTAATATTTTTTCATTAATATGACTCATCTTTATGTGTCTTTTCAGTCTAAGCTTATGAAGGTAGAGGGTGGGTTTTAAACCTTCCAAATCCTAAGTGCCTAACATTGCGTTGTACCTTATTGATAATTAATGCTCTAATTATAATAGAATAGATTTACTTTTAGTCATCTCTTACTGATTATTTTTAATTCTGTGGGTTTTAATGATAGGTTTGAAGGGCACAAAACTAAACTTTCCCTCAAAAGTATATTGATCAATGATTACTCAAAGATAGCTAAGAAGCTGTTCCTATAGGGCTAAGTTAGCTTTCTTGGTCACTCTCAATTCAGACCTATGACCAAGAAATCATGACTAATAAGAATGGTCACAGATTCTCTGCAAGAAAGAGCAGCTCTTTTGATAGTGTTTTCTTGTCCCTTCCTTGGTTCTACTGTATGACAACAGGTAAGAGTAGAAGTTAGACTAAATTGTAGTTTGATATATTACAAATTTAGAAGTAAGAATAGTAGTATCAGTTCTCTTATCACCTTTACCTTCCAATGGAAAATTATTTTAGGTTTTGCATGACATATAACAAAGTTTTTGAGTTGGCCACTTATAGGACTATACTTTTTTAGAAAAATATTTTTAGATTTTTGACTTAGA